GCCGTTGGTAGGCTGAACCGTAATTTCTGAAATAAACGGCTCGTCCAGACCGCAGAAAATATGGAACGGCCGTGATTAATTACCGAACGCATTTTGCTGGCCAACAAATTTTAGACAATTGTAAAAATACGTAAAATTTTGTCGATAATTTTACATATTTTGAAACTGCCGAAAATCTAATGGCCACGGAAATGGGCTCGGTAGCTAATACATTAAAAATCCATATTTCTGTTTTAGTTTTTTTGTGAAAAAAAATTCTTTTTGCACTAATGTTACAGTTTTTAAAGTAATAAAAAGTACATTATTTTATTTAGAAAAAAAAACTCGTCCGTTATTTATTTGATCTGGTAATGAATATTTTGAAACTACAGAAGTTTATAAGGAGTCCAGGCTTTGTGCTCTTCATTCTGTTTATTCATGCCCTCATCTAACAAATATATTTGAAACCGTTTTTGTTAATCGTGCCAGCAATGTCTGTTTGCTTAAAGTTTTTTTATATGGTCTGTTTTGCGCTGGCATAGTTCCATATAATTATGTGACTCTGTACTGTTTCGAGAAATCCATGTTACAGTATTTTATGAATAAATGTTTTTGTTGCTTTTCACTCTCTACAGGGCTAGCAGTATTTCTGTAGCGTTTTAAAAGATTTTTATAACTCCCCACCCCTCTCCCACAAAATGGATTTTTGTCCAGGGAAATTTAGAGGTGTCAGAATGGTGTGGATTTTACAATTCTTAGTGAACTATGCCATCTTAACATTAAAACCTCGTTGAACTAAATTTAAAAAACTCGGCTGGCCATATAGTATATATACCGCAACCACTCGTGGAGCAAATTTGGGAATTCCATGTTACTGGAATGCTCGCATAAACTCAGTCTTACGGTCTTGGGCTATGTATGTCTATTAGTGACTGTCGCCCACTCGGTGATACGTGTGCGGCCTCGTCATAGGTCAACCAGATGTCGTTCACGTTACGAGGGAACCATTCGCTAATGCGCTACGTCTGCCGATTGTTGTCAAAGACAGTACAAGTCCAGTTCGTTGGACTTCAATTATGTCCTGCACACTGCTCATCTGACAAGGAGTCTCTTTCTTTACATGATCGTGAAGTCACACGCCAAGCATCACTCACTCCGTCACATTGTCAAAGTCAGTGCTCGCTCTTCAACTTTCGTCAGTGGTCACGTTTCACATTCGTACGTCAGTGCCTTCAACAAACTTATGAACTGAGAACAGGTGTCGTAAACAGAAATTAAGCTGTTGACATAAATGTTACTGATAAGAACCGCTCACTGTTGAACTGAACAAAATACTATTAGTATAGCAGTTTTGGAAAATTTGTTTTTTTTTATCGCGCAACATTTTGCATGCTGTTCTTCTGTTTGAATGGGACTGCGCATAGGAAATGGAAATTTATCAAGTGTTCGCATAGTTGAAACACAACAACAACAATAAACAAGGATTAAAATGGGTTGTGGTGACGTGATGCGGACGGGTTAGAGCAGACAAGCTTAGCTTAGTGCGAACTTTTGCCAGTAAGAAAGGAGGAGTAAAATTCAGTGAGACGAAACTGGATGTGTTTTGGGATATGAACAGTTTAAGATTACAAAAAACTGGTTTTTATTTACATAATAAAAGACCTTTCAGTGAAGAAAAAACATTGGTGGTATACATCTCCAAGTCACTGTGATGTGTTCATCGTGGCCTAGGATTTTAGCTAATCCGCTATAAACTACTTGTTCGAATCACCTCGCGAAATCCCCCATAAAAAACCCTCAGTTTTTGTTTTCAGAAATAACTAGAAAATGGTAGTGATGATTATATTCCCAAAATATAGACAAACGTGACAGATTTGGCTGTTTCGTAACGCAGGAGGAACATCTCCTCAAAATTTCACGGCGTAACCTCGCTGCCGTTTGCTATAATCACTGGCTTATTCTGAGAATAAAACGGCTGCACACTTATTTTTCCGAGAATCCTTACTGCACTTTCCCAGTAACCTGAACACCCATTGTTTTAGAGAAACTCGATACCTCTGTGTCCGTTCTCATCCCTAATGAAAACAAACTGGCAGTGGTTTGTTATATTTCAGCATGCCAGAGGATTCAAGCCATTCAGAGTTTGTTTTTTTTCCACTACCAGTTTCTGGGGAGGAAACCCCAGAGTACCGTTAGTTGCCGTCAAAAGAAGCACCGTAACATGGACTATAGAAAGCCCCCTTCGCCACCTCTCCCTTCCTTTGCGAATTCGTAAAGGAGAGGATGACTGGAGGAATCATCAACAGTTTTGACTTCAACAGGACGAGATATAGTAACACAAGCGGTAGAAAACCTGGATGCAGCAAAAAAAAGCAAAGAAATATCTAATCACAGAACAATTTCCATTTCAAATATGCATTTGTCGAAAAAAAAGTGAAAATTATCTCTAAGAAAAATACCCCGATAACAATAAAAAACACTGATAATGACAGCAATTAATACAGCGCAAAAATTAACCAGTTTGCTGAACAAACAATGAGGCCCAAACAAGAAAATCTGTGGTTCCAAAAACGGGGAAAGATGCTTTCTCAGTGTGTCTCTGTAAAGGGACGAAGCTAATCAAAAAATAATTCGAGTAATGAATCCTGCTGCAACAACCCAGTTGCAGTGTACCTGATAGTCCTCTGACTTCTCACACTCGCTTGAAGGGGCGGTAGACGCAGTCTAAACAAAGGGCATGCTATATAAGCCGGTACCAATTTACCATCGAAATTAGATTCACTGGCAGATGGTTCTCTCCTGCAACTTCTAGAAACTGATCCAGAGCGAATATGTGGCAGACCAGTGAATCGAGCTTGACAGCAGACAACAGCCATAACTGCGTTAAGAGTGTGGGCAGTGGTATTCCGGATTTTGTTAGAACAAATTGTTACTGGAACTTGTGACCGCGCTAACAAAATGGTATTGTCTTTTTAAATTCATGTTAAATTCATGTTCGAAACACCTGGCATAGTTGCGACCGACGTGCGGGAGCATCCCAGTAACATCGCTAATACAGATATTCACACCTTTTCTTTGGATATCCACACCTATTCTTTTCTTTTCCATTAGGCACTATTACCGTCATACTGACGAGGTCCTGTCACGGTATTAAAGCGCATATGACGTAATGGGCCGAAACGTCTTATCTCATTCTTATCTTCTTCTCCCATGCTGTAATCTATCGCGCTTTCATCATTTAGGCTTCCAGGGTCAACCCGGTTGCTGTAATCTGCTTATTGGTCCGTTAGGAAAAAGAATGAATGTTGACAAATTGGGACAGGAAAGCTCAAGGACAGGTGCAGTAAATGTGCCCTCTATGCCCTGGTACTACCGGTATCTGCACAATACTAATTATGCGGGCACCGGCGGCTCTCCCCTATGCTTATGAACAGGATGGACCAATAAAGAAAGAAATTGTCCGAGCTATTTTTCTGTGTATAAACTGTGGAAACTAATCGCTTCGCCGTGTTTGTCCCTTTTCTCTGTGTGATAAACTTTATCATAGGCTACTCATCCTGAAACCCCTTCTTCAGAAGCTTTGTAAATAACTAGCTCATCAATACCATTCTACACTTCTTTTTTAAGCGCAGTCGGGTCCAGGACGAACTCCTCGGGGAAGAGCAATGGGAATGAGGGAGGCGGGGGGAGGGAGCGGGGAAAAGGAGCTCCTGAGAGGAGAGACGGGAACTGGAAAGCAGAGTCCCCTCCTAATCTGAAACTGTGCAAAAGCTAGGGGTAGAATTATAACACTGCTACTCAGAGTTACTTTAGGCTTTAGTTTACTTTAGTATTAACTTTAAATTCGGCTTTTCGCAACACTTGCGCTTGAGAGGGAGGAAGGACAAAAGACCTTCACCCTTCTGATCCGCCAATATTTCTAGGCAACCGCATGGCATGTATATTTCCTGTTTGATGAATAAATTTTTGTGTACCGTAATCACATTTGGCGGCTGTATCCTTCCCCAAACCATCGCAACTTCAAGACATTCAGTGCGACAAAAGCAACTCCTTTCGAAGTTGAAAGCAATAAAATGAAATGAATTAAAGACAAAAAAAAAGTGATAAAAATATGTGTCAAATGGGGGATCAGACAATGAAATCGGTTTTCTTTTTTTGAATGTTGAAGAACCTGTCTTGCGGTCGCGATATGTGCTCATCCATGTGAATTTCATGTCATGAACATTTTGATCGGCAATGGCATAGCTGTCGTAGATGTCAGGAGCTTTAAATTAAGCAAAATTATAAATTTAGTTAAAAGAACAAATGGGCAAACAACTAAATGAGAATTATGAGCAAAAGTTGATTAACATTTCTATTAATTAAAAATTTTTTACCAAAAGCACCATAACTTTTTTGTCAGTTAATAATTTTTTGTCAAAAACATCACATATTTTTAACTCATTAAGCATCTTTGACTATGGCAAAAGTAAAGCACAGTGTGATAAAGACTAGTACTGGCACATGCCTGGTACCAGAGCAACCAGGCACATGCCTAACTGCTGTGGCACGTGCTACCATTCGGGCTATTTCCGAGTTCCTCCATATCGCCCAGAGAATGAGTATGAAGGGAGGGGGTAAGAGAACGGGGCTTGCTTTTGAAATTTTGAAAATTATTTCTTTCCAACCAGACACTGTTTAACAGTAGTATCTGGGATACGGTAGCAGCACCGCAGCGTCATGAAAGGCTTTTTTCATCGATTTGCCCTTATAACAACAGATAAATACCGTATAGCTAGCTGCTAGCGATAATGCAGCAGCTATGCTCCAGTTGCAAAGTATATGCTGTGCAAAATGAGGCATATGAGCAACAAAGCATGAAAAAGGGGGAAAAACAAGTCCCAGCACCCGAAGGCTTCCAGCTCAGTCTACGATGGCGGGTTAGCAACCAATAGGCCAGAGGCTGCTAAGAAACTCAGATAATCAAAAGACGCGTCTGGGGAACGACCTGGACCTCTCGATATGCACTAGAGAGTTATAAATCACTGACGAGAAATCAGCTCACGAAAAATATCATTCAAAAACCTTAATTTGCTCTCTAGTGCAATCAAATTTTTAAGCAGTCCTCGCCGAATCCGAGTTATTTTTGTCTACCAAATAATATTTATCGACTCACCGGTAAGGCGGCAGGATTGTTGAGGGCTGGCGCGGCTGCCTGCAAATTTCCATAGGCCGAAATTGCCTGACTGGCAACCAAGCTGGCAAGCAGTGTTGGT